CCCTGGAGACATCAGCATATGTCTCACCTACCTCCAAGGTCCAACACGCACTAAGTTGTGTTCAGTATCTCATTTGGCTACGCACAGAACACCTTTTTGTCAGACATATCCGCAGCCATACACGGCTACCTGGTCCCTTGTCTGCAGGTAATAACCTAGCTGATAAAAATACCCATATTTGTCTTAATGCTCATGCCTCAGACCTGCATGACAAATTTCATCTCAATGCACGTTCCCTTCAACACCATACTCAGTGCACACGAGAAGCAGCACAGGCTATTACAACCTCCTGCCCCTGCTGTGCCCCCTTTTTGCACGGCCCTACGCTCGGAGTTAATCCACGTGGCTTGCGCCCGAATCACCTATGGCAGATGGACGTCACACATATACCTGCTGCAGGATGGCTAAAGTTCGCCCATGTCACGGTAGACACCTTTTCGGGCATCACTTTCGCATCATTACACGTTGGCGAACGTACTAAAGATGCTATAGCACACTGTTTGTCGGCCTTCGCCTACATGGGCAAGCCGCAAACCATAAAAACTGATAATGGCCCCACATATACCAGTAAAAAATTAGCTTCCTTTTGCCAATATTATGGCATTTCCCACAAAACAGGGATCCCTTATAATCCATGGGCCAGGCCATTGTGGAAAGGGCCAACCAGACACTCAAACAATATTTTCAAAAAATAAAAAGGGGGGGGGAGTATGCCCTCTCCCCGACCACCCAGCTGTCCACCATCCTCTTTATTCTCAATTTTTTGACCATGGACTAGGAAGGGCGGTCGCCCATGGAACGCCACACGTATGCTAGATCACATGACCTTGGTTGGGTCCGGTGGAAGGACCTGCAATCCGGGCGATGGATGGACCCTACTCCTATGTTGGCAAAGGTGAGGGGGGCAGTGTGTGTTTTTCCCCCAGGGGCAGACAAACCTATCTGGGTTCCGGAACGCTGCGTATGACCAGTGAACCAGGATGCGGAGCCTGGCACTTCCCCTGCTG